GTCCCTTTAAGATTTTTAAAGGGCACTTGCTTTTCTTTTGTCCCAGGGGTGCCAGCTGTGGGGGCCCACTCGCAGATTTTACTGTCCTGTTTCCCTAGAATCCAGCACCCCATGCATGCATTGTGTCTGCACTCTGGTGCAGATGGCTACGGCTGGGTATTTAGCACTTCTGGGCTCCCTCTCCCTCCCTGCTCCAACTCCTCTCTTCCTGCCAGGAGCTGGGGTGAGGGGTGCACTCCGGTCCCACCGGGCTGCGGCTTGTATCTTACCCTCTTCGTGATGTGCTTGGTTCTCGCAGGTGTAGATGTAGTCTGGCTGTTGTCCTGTGTCTGCTGGTCTCTCTTTTACAAATAGCTGTATTTGTTGTATTTTCAAAAATATATATAGTTTTGGGAGGAGATTTCCGCTGCTCTACTCATGCTGCCATCTTGGCTCCGCCTCCCTTGTCATATTACTTTTATTGCAATCTAATCCAAATATACTTGATTAAGTTCCCCTGATACATATATTTGCTATTAATTTTTTTAAAATTTTGCCATGAGTTTAAACCTATTCTCTGTCCTTGGCAATATATCCCTTTGAACTGTTTTAAGATATGCTGTAAATAGTTTGTATTGTGTCTGCGTATTAGTGTAGCATTTTTCTTCCCCTTTCTCTACCTGAGTAACATCCTTTTGTCACCTCTTCTGTGTTTCAGCCTCAGTCCCATAGCATTCCCAATGAGCTGGAAGGGCCCTTTGAGATTATCTGGTCAAACTGAAGCAGAGAAGTAGAAAAAGAAATTTAATCAGTTTGCTGAGGGTGAAAATGGGGCATTAAGTATTTGTATATGACAATTTATTGATCTTTAAAATACAAATGCAGAAATATTTACTCATTTTGTTGGAAAGGAATGTGTAAACTAAACAATTTACAGAACTTTTAGCCTTAATCTTTAGCGGTGTGTGTGTGTGTCTGTGTCTGTGTGTCTGTATTGGGCATTGTAGTATAGTATGTAAAATGTGGTGTGAAAAAATAGTATTTTCTGTTTATTTCATATTATTTGTTCCCCATGAAACATAATTGTTTTGGCAGCTGGCATTCCTGGTATCATTATGTTGGAATTCGGTATACAGTATTTAAGAAGCTCTGGTTATTTCTTATTGTACATTTTGATCAATTTCTTAGTGATAGTAGATGTTGAGTTTAAATTCCAGGACAGAAAACTTGAAAAGGAGAATATAATGTACATCACCAACTGATACAGTGTTCGAAAACACAGTTATTTTTTAGACGTATGTTCAATTCTGTAAGTTTTCAATTGACAATATTATTTGATTTAGAATCTTAGAATTTGAATTGCATGGAAATCATTGATAATTTTGGTATTTATTTTTTTACAGAGAGGAAAAAGGAAAATGGATGACTGAAAAAAGTATTACCATATTTTAAAAGTTGAATTTTCTTTTCTAGGTTGCTGTAGTGAAACTCAAAAATGCAGATAAAGTATTTGCCATGAAAATATTGAATAAATGGGAAATGCTGAAAAGAGCTGAGGTAATATTCTAATTATTGGAATATTTACATGGTATTTTAGAAATAATTTTAGGGAACTGTAAAATTGTAGAGAGCCAATAGAGCCTTAATTATCAGTTAGTAACATTTTATCTATGATGCCTTTTTTTAAAGGCCTAAGAGACAAATTCAGCAATTCACAATTCATGTAGTTACAATAAAAATGATAATTTGTGATGCTAATTTAATATTGTCTGAAAACCAAATGGAAAACCTTCTAATGTGAGGTTTATACACTTTTGTTAAAAGAATGTTTAGAAACCACTTACTTTTACAGCAGATTTTTGTAATGATTGTTTTCCAATTGATATAACATATTTATGTTATTCTGTATTTATATGTGTTCTCCAAGCAAAAGTATCTGAGGAATTTATAGGAACAGTTTAATACCCAAATATTTTCAGAGAAGATCATGAAAATGTCATATGTGTGTGTGTGTGTGTGTGTGTGTACATACATGCCTGTGCACATATGTACATGGAGGGGGTGTTGTGGAGAGTGGGGGAGAGTGCAAATGAAACAAGATTGAACAGTAAGATAATTGTTGACGTTGGTTGATGGGCATGTTGGGCGAGGGGCTTGTTTTAGTGTTTCCTTCTGTATATGTTTGATAATAATATATAATAAATAGTTTATTTTTCATTTTTTAAAATTATTTCTTCACTAAGGAGTTTAGAATATATTAGAATCTACTAAAGTTTAATCTGTTCTGTTAACAAAAAGTATTTGGAGCTTTATTTAGTTTAGAGTCATCAATCAAATGTTTATTAGATTCTAGCTAGAAAGTCTATAAAATTAGTTAGTTGTCCTAGTAAGATGAAGCCAGGAGGAGTCTCCTAGGCCCTGAGTGCTGTCACTAACTCTCTAGAATGTTAGCAGCAAACCAGTACTCTCCCTAAAATGAACCAAATGAATCTAATACTGTAGATTTTAATAATTGAATTGACAGGTAAATTGCCAATTGGTTAAAGTTTTAATTATTTTGATATTTTCTCTGGTGCTGCTGTTTAATGCATGGCTTAGGAAGTTACAGTTGATCAAATAAAATTAATGCAAATAGACAAAAACTAGGGTAAATTAGGTACTTAATTAGGGTAAATTAGGTAATATTAATTGTTTTGGATATCATGGCTATTGAATTTACCTTGTGGGAAATAAATTATTAAGCTTCTGCTATAGATAGAACACTGTATGGATGATTTTTCAATGTATAGCCACTAAGAAAAATCGGGTAGGTCTCTGTGTCCTGGTGTGGGAAGCTGTTCAGATACATTATTCCTTGAAAGAAACAACTTACAGAGTTCTGAGATTCTCATTTGTGTAAAAGAAAAGATGGGAGATGGGATGCCACATGAATATAGTGTGTGTGTGTGTGTGTGTGTGTGTGTGATGCTTATTTAGACAGAGAAATTTTCTGAGAAGTTATTCAACAGTTGTTGGTGATAACCTCTGGACACAAAAGTGGACAGTGAAGGTATGACTTTCATTTAATAGGAAAGGGCTTGACTCTGGGAGATGTTTTTAGTTTCTACTTTACCTTTCAGTTCTTGAACTTTGTAGCATAGTTGAGTTTTTAAAATAAAAATTTTAAGATGATACATTACAGAATTATAATGTCTCATGTGAATTTGTTAATTTTTAGCCACACATTTCTAAGGTTCTCTAGGATATACCTTTATAATAGTAGAAATATGTTCTCAGGAAAAGCTAACAGTTTTACAAAGTGAGTGAACAAAGAGAAAGCTCAGATGTCCACTAAGTGTGTGTAAAGCTATTTAGATACCTGTATCTGTCATTAGGAATATGTTAAAGGAATGGTGAGAAATAATTTCACACCCATCATATTGACAAGCACTTACAAGTCAAATAATGCCAAGTACAGTTGATAATGTGGGGAAAGGAGAGATTTCATACACTGGAGCAAAGGTACTAATTCATATAGCACTTATGAAACAAAGCTGATTGTCTGGTATCTAGCATTTCTGCCTCTAAATGTATACCCTAGAGAAACTCCTGTACATTTGTACAGATATATTCATTGAAAGTTTGTAGTAACACAAAATTGTAAATAACCTGTATTCAAGCAGTGGCATACTATAGCAATTAAAAGGAAAATAGCCATTTTTGAGCAAAAAGTAATCAAGCTGCAAAAGGATAGAAAAACTACCATTCATGGAAGTTTTCAAAACACAGAACAGTTCAATTGATTTTGGACACATACATGTGCTATCAAAGCACATGATTGGAAAGATAGATACTAACTTCAGATAATTTATATATTGGGAGGAAGAGAGGAGAATGCAGTAGGAATGGGAAGGCTACAGCTTATATCTTATTTTCATTAAAGATAAAAAGATAAGTAAATGTGGCAAAATGTTCACATTTGTGTTGTCTGAATGAGAGGTTGGACCATGGTTGTTAAATGAGTCTGTATGTCATTCTGATTTGTTTTGAACTGTAACAGTCTTTTTTTTAATATAAAACAAGTATTTGTAAGTGTACCATTCCAGTTGTCCAGTTTCTGAGGGTACTTTTATAACTTGACTTTTTGAAACGTCATGTATATAATGTTGGATGAATTCTTTTTCCAGAACAGAAAGTGTAATAAATATATTAAGCAATTGTTTGCATGATTTATTTTCTAGTTTTCCATAAAGTGTCGTCTATCTAAAAAAAAAATTCTTTTTCCTTTTCAGACAGCATGTTTTCGTGAAGAAAGAGATGTGTTAGTGAATGGAGACAATAAATGGATTACAGCTTTGCATTATGCTTTCCAGGATGACAATAACTTAGTAAGATTGGTTTTTATATGTTTCTATATCCTTGTTAATTTTTTGTTGGCAGAATTTAGCATTATTTTCAATTAAGTATTATTTAAATGTGGATGTTATTTAGAAAACCACTGAATGTCATAGAGTATAAGTTTATTTGATATGTGATTTTTTATCCCCCCCGGGTAATTCAATATCTTCCCATTGGCATTTTCTATGCTTTTTAATAAGCAAGTCAAAACTAAACAGATTTTAATTCTGTAAAAGGTGCTCAGGATTTTTCTTTTCATAATTTTCCCAATAAATTTTATTTGTCATTTGTTGTTACTATTTAAAATTTTACAAATTTTTAGAGTATGTATGGGCTACTTTTAAGTCGAGCCACATTTAAATTCTAGGTGATATATAATTTTATATTGACATCATGAAACACTTGACAGGAAAAGGTGGGAAAGAGCTTAGAAAATCAGAGTTTTAGAAGCATTGCCAATTGAAGAGTGACAAGATAAACAACTAAATAGGAAAATAAGGTGAAATGTGCCATACTTGTGTATATAACTCTTTGGCCTACAATGCAAGGCTCTCCATTTTCTGACCCCAGTTTTTATTTCAGTGTATATTTTTTAATATATTTGTGTTGAGTTCCTGCTGTGTGCCAGATACTATACCATGTACTGGTATATAAAAATTAATAAGACTTTTTTCATTTATTTGATTGGTATTTGTTATACCTGTGCTGTGTACAAGGCACTGTTCCTTAGGATCTGTAGATTCACTAGTGAATAAGGATCTCTTTTCTTACTGTTCTTACATATGTGAGGGAAGCCAGACAAAAAAATTCAAAATCAAATAAATAATACTTCCAGATTATTTCAGAAAACAAAACATTTATTCAAAGGTATGAAGTCAGTGAGCACTCTTCTAAGGCAAGTGTATGTTAGCTAAACCAAGAAGGGAAAAGAGGCGGAGGAGACTTCATGAGCAAAAGCATAGAGATTTGGAGCAGCCTGTTATGTTCTTATTGACGGGGCAAGAATAAGAGGCTTGGGTATGGGGGAGGCCCATCAGATAGCATGTTATATGCTATGGTGAGGAAACTAGACTTTCACAACCATGTTTTTCAGAAACAGATTTTTTTTTTGTCATGAAACCCTTGTGCATATTTTTTTAAATGACATTACATCTGAAAGCCTGGACAGTCAAGCATGTGGAATTGGAACTTCCCTGAGTGGTCCCTTAACTTCTTCCCCCCGCCTTCCCTCGTGAGTACATAGAGGTCTGTCACCGAAGAAGCTTGAAAACTGCTCTTTGAGGGCTTTAGAAGAGTTTGTGGCAGGAGAGGAGCAGGCTTACCTGAGGGATGAGAGGAAGGTCTGTGAGGCTATAACCGTGTAGGGAGATGTGCAAAATGAGGCTTCCAGAGCGTCACTGTGCTGAGTGCAGGTTTTATTCTAATGTCCAGGAGGGTTTTGAGGAGAAAATGATAATCAGTTTTATGTTTTACGTAGAACATCCTGGCAGCAGTGTGGAGGATGAATTTCAGGGGCAAAACTAGAGGTGAGGAGACCACTTAGGAGACTTTTATAATGTTCAGATGACAGATAATGAGGTGAATAAAGGGGATAATGTCCTAGTGGGATGAAGAGGGAGGGATGGTTTCAGGTACTATTTAGGGAGTAAAATAATTCAAACTTTATGTATTCAAATGGATGTCAGTGAAGGAAGGAGAATTCAGAATGATTCCCAGTTTTCCAGTGTCTGACTCGTGAGATTCATTGGTTAGTAGTTGGTGAATTGAGTAGGGAAATTCAGGAGGAAGAGAAAATTTAGAGTACAGGGGAAGATGATTAGTTTAATTTGGTATGTGTTGGGTTTGAATTGTCATGTGATGATTCAATTAAATGGATAATCCATTAAATGTAGTGGGTTAGATATGTAAGTCCGGTGTTTCTGAGGGAATAGCACCACATATTTTGGAGTTCTTAAAGATCAAATTTTGGCAAATAATGGCCTGCAGCTCAAATCTGGCCCACATCTCTTTTTGTACAGCTAAGAATTTTTTTTTTGCATTTTTTGAAGTTGAAAAATAAATCAGAAGAAGAATATTTTGTGATGTGATTATATAAAATGAAATATCAGTGTCCAAAGTTTTTTGGAACAGAGCCATGCCCACTGGTTTATATACTGTCTGGCTGCTTTTGTGCTACAGTGGCAGTTGACTGGTGGTGACAGAGACTGGCACTCTTACAGAGGTAACACACAGTGTGTGTTAGTCTCATCACTTTGTAGCTGCTGCTCTGCAGACTATGAATTTCATTAACTGTTGAAGCTTGATCACATTTCAAGTATTGTACATACTGCTATACCTTGACATTTTATTTTTATTAATAGTGCATATGACTCATATCAAAATAAGGAAAGAAAAGTAGACTTCAAAAGTCATGCTTTGAAGTCATAGTAGGGTATGAATTGTTTTGTTAATGAATTAAATGGCAACATGGTGTTTATTATGCAATTGTACTACAACTGTATTAATAGAATACAGTGTCTGCATTGTCATACTGAGAATTCATTATAACATTCCTGACTCACAGAAAAGAACAAGTCAAAAAGTTGGAAAATTTAAAACAGAGTATCTTATCTCTGTAGAATTTCTTCACAAAAGTACAAAATGAAAATGAGGATGGAACCATAATAACTTCCTGAGTGGCTCATTTGTTAGCCAAGAAAGGACATCCATATGCCAACGCTGAGTTTATTAGATCATGTTTGATGGCAGCAGCCCAAGAAATATGTCCACAGAAGATAAGCTTGTCTGAGACTGTTAGCCTTTGGCAAGAATGGTTGCTCCAAGAATCATGGACATTGGGAACAACATCAGTGGTTGATTATAAAGCCAGGAAAATTATTTGAATGGTTTGTTTTGGCTCTTAGAAGATATTACTGATTCTGCTCAGTTGTTGTTTTTTTTGGGAGTCAATGCTGAGTGTGAAGTAACTGAGGAATTAGCTCCTATGATAATTTGCATGGAATAATTACAGTTAGTAGTATTTTCAAAGAAGTTGAGAAATTTTCTACTTATCTGATAGAACCCAACTTGGAATCTGCTAAGATATATTACAGGTGAGAGTGACAAAAATATGTGTGGGCAGGATAAGGCTTATTAGTTGGACTAATTTATAAATCACATGAAAATATTAGGTGCTTTAAAACCTGTGGATATTCATTGTCTAATTAACCAGCAGAAAATATTTGGCTTTATCATGTACAATTGAGCCAGTAGTGTCAATGTTGAAGTTGCTCATTCTCATGGAAATAACTATTACCATTTTCATGAATTTTTTCAGGAATCAAAGCTGAATGTCCTGACTTGCTATATATCGTACAGCTATTCTGTGGTTTTGCAGTGTAGTGAATGAATTTCTCACTTGTTCTGTATTTTATTTTCCATTCCTAAGAAAATTATTTACAGAATAAAATATATTATGGAAAGCTATTTATTCACTTTGCCCATAAGCCTGTAGTAGTGTACATTCAGGAGAGGGACAGGGCCTGGATTAGGATGGTGGTAGTGAGTAGGGATAGAAGTAGGTAGACCCCACAGAGATTTAGTAGGAATTCAACTCAGTGAGGCCTTGGTGGTTTCATTGGCTCTTGTAGTGAATAAAGAAAACATGAGGAGTGACTTCCCAATGCTGAGGTACTCGCTGGGATATGCTGGAGAGGAAAAGGAGCTTTTTCCTATGTGAGGTTATTAGTCTGCCTTGTCCAGTGTGCCTTGTCTCCCTAATACCAAAACCCTGTTGTAAGTATAGCTCATTTTCAGCTCATCGCTTTTCTCTTGAGAATTTTTGTTTTTGTTTTTGCCCCTTGCTCCTCCAGTTGCTGAATTCTGTGTCAGTAACAGCTAATTTACGTCTGAAAGCCGACAGGGAAGGAATGTGAGTAGGCAAAGCCAGAGCTCTTGTTCAAGAGGTGGCAGGAGAGGGAGACTAGGAGTACTTAATGTTTTATTCATCATTGTTTATTCTGTCTCAGGGAAGTTTGTTCACAGGTGAGGTTTACAACAGCACATCAGAAGGATGGAAGGGAAGGGTCCATGGGGGTTTTGGGTTTGCTAAGACGAAGAACATGGCAGTATGTAGATGAAAGTAGAAGAGAGGTGGTGACTAAAGAAGCTCGATGGCAGAAATGTTGAGATGATGATTTCCTGGCAGTTCCTGGCTCAGCCCTTGGAGCCTAGTGTGGCAAGGAGAGAGCACACTGGCAAGTAAGGAAAGCCTTTCACATGCAGCCTTTCGTCGCTTTCTCCTCTGGACTTTTTCTCTCTCTTTGGTACAAATTCCTGATTGGTACCTGGTAAATGTTTATTGAAGATAAGACTTTCTGTCCATAAATGTTAGATTCCAGTTTTAATAGCTGACTTGCTTTGCTTTTTCATTTGAAAAGTTTGTTTGCTACTGTATTCAGAGTATTTCTTTTAAAAGTAATGGATTTGGATTTCTTTTCCATTTCTAGCAACATGTTTATATTAACAGAATTTTATTACATTAGTTTGTTCTCATCTTCATGACAGAGTCTGTTAAACATTAGGCCTAGTAAATATAAGCAAGTAAACCATACACCAGGATTTGAAATACATTGTTTCCCTAATTTTTAAAGATCTCAAAAATGAAATTAGCTCTTTTTATTTAGCAAAAATTGCCCTTGCTTATAATGGTAATATATAGTGATAAGAACATGAATTTTCTCAAGACTCTTTAACCTTAATATCAACTTGGTGATAACCCTGAAATAATATCTCCATCTGTAGTAAAATCATCTTGACTGATTCAATAACTGACATTTAAATATCTTCTAAATACCAGCTTTCATGCTAAGTGCTACGCTCTGAAGAAGGTATCATTACTGTAGTTACATAGATGAGAAAATAAAGTCTTAAAGATACTAAGTAATTTTTCAAAAGCCACTTATGACCCATAGTCAGAATGTGAATACAGCTATCTCTGACTACAAAGCCTATTTTTCCACTATGTCTAGTTTTCACTCACCTTAAAAAATACAATGCATGCATATATATGCAATCTATGTTTATGGAACAATCTAGCAAATAAGCTGTGACATCATTTGTAACCTGACAGCCCTTGGGGACAATCCCTATAAATATTTGGTATGTATTTTCCTTGTCATTTCTTTTTTGGCACACTGTAAAGGAAAACTGTTGTTTTTATTTACATTATGCAAGTATTCTCTGAACTGTCTTTGAATCTGACATTAGATGTTTGGGTTTTCCACACATCAAGCAATTCTGCAATAACAGCAGAGTGTCCTCCAATTAAACTAGATTCTGACACTGTCTACCAGGAGATAGCATCAGATTCCACGGCGAAGGGCTCAGTCCTAGAAGACTCCTCCACTACCCTGCCTCCCAGACACAAGTCTAGGTTGTTACTTGGGCTTCTGACCCACAGACTATTGAGGGTCCCACATCCCCCTCCTTGCATTCAGTTAATCTGCTAGAGCAGCTCACAGCGTTCAGGATCAGCCCAATGAAGGAGATGCATGAGGCAAGGTATGAAGAAGGGCACAGAGCTTCCATGTTCTCTCAGAGCACACTACCCTCCCAGCACTACCTCCGTGTGTTTACCAACATGGGAGCTCTCTGAACTCCTTGCTTCTGGGTTTTTATGAAGGTATCATTACATAGGCTTGATTGATTAAATCATTGACCACTGATGATTGATTCAACCTCCAGCTCCTCCAGCTCCTTTCCTCTCCGAGGAGGCTAGTGGTGGGACTGAAAATTCTAACCCTCTAATCTTGGTTGTTTCCCTGGCAACCAGCCCCTATCCTTAAGTTACCTAAGGGCTTTCCAAAAATCACCTCTTTAACATAAATTCTGGTGTGGTTGAAAGGGGCTTGTTACAAATAAAAGACACCTTTATCTGTCACTTAAGAAATTCCAAGAGGTTTTAGGAACCCTGTGCTCTGTGCCAAAAAATATGTTTGAAAATATGTTTCTTATTATAAATCACAGTATCATACATAATATACTGTAAGAGTCCATATCTAAAATTGGTTGGCTTCTGTTTATACATTCCTAAGAAAAACCCATTTTGATATTTATACACTATTGGAAATGGGAAGAAAAACATGGTGGGGATTACTATATTCTCTACAACTGTGATTTCTACATGCTGATCCACATGCTGATTATAGTAAAATTTTACTGATTCAAGGTGAAATAAGGAAAAGGTAATGATGATAAAGATGAATTTATTCAAGGTAAATGACTATCTTATAGTCTGAGCTTTTAAATCATTTTTGGGGAATTAAAATGTCTGTTCTATGAAATGGTGGTACTGTGGTCTGTTGTAGGTGATGGTGATGATGTTATTTTTTTCATCTTGTTACTTTGCAAAATACAAAACAATGGTAATCCTGTGTTTCCCCTGCCACAGTTTTTTAAAATTTTATTTTACTGCTTTATGAAATTTAAAAGTCTTGTAATCATCTTACATAGCTTCTTGTTAATTAACAACAAAAATATCTGGCTCAGTGTTGTTTTCACCCTTACTATTAATTGAGTACATTTTACCTTTTTGTTCTTAGTACCTAGTTATGGATTATTATGTTGGTGGGGATTTGCTTACTCTGCTCAGCAAATTTGAAGATCGATTGCCTGAAGAGATGGCCCGATTTTACTTGGCTGAGATGGTGATAGCCATTGATTCAGTTCATCAACTGCATTATGTACACAGGTAAGACCCAATGAAAGAGCAGATTGTATAAATGTCAAAAGAGATGTTTTTGTAAGAAAGTGGTAATTTTGATAACTATGGAATAATTTTTTCTTTATAAACTGTTTGACAAGTATGATTAAAAAGTTTTCCTACAAATGTGTGTTATATATTGTATACAGTTTAAAATGGAATAAAGAAAAAAAGCAGGCCTGTTTGCAAACTGATTTTTACACAGGATTATTCTTAACCTGTTGACATGTTAAACATCTCTTTCTATGTAAAAAGCTTATAAAAATTTATGTGTAACAAAAATTTTAAAACATACTGGATGGCTTAAGAGACAGTCTCACATTTTAAAACAAGAGACACAAATCATCACAGAGTTACTGGTGAATTAATCATTCAGATGAGGAAATCTTTGGGTTGTGCAAAATGTAAGGAAGAATGAAGAGATGCTGAGGAGAAGGAAGTACGGGTACTGCCGTGTTACAGGGAAACGCAACCATTTTGTAAGACAGTGGCTAGAAAACATTAGCTTGCATTGGAATCCCACGGAGGGTTTGCAAAAACCCAGACTGATGGGTCAGCTCCAGGGTTTCAGACCAGTAGGTGGAGGGGGCTGGGGGCTGGCCTCTCCCACGCTTCCGCAGGCCCTCCTCTTGCTGCTACTCTCGGCCCAGCACTCCTCCGACACAGTGCGGCCAGGTGTTCTGCTCCAGCACAGCAGTGAATGCTCCTTTTGGGTTGTGGTTGGTGAGAGTAATCTCTGTGAAAAGCAGAATAGTGGAAAGGAGGAGGGATTTTCTGTTTCAGTGTATTTTTAAGGTGGGGTATTTTCGGCTGATTGATTTAATTTAATTAGAAATGAAGTTCTAGGATATTATGAAAGGAAAAATATTTTTATTAAAAATTTTGTATTTATCAGACCTCAGTTTTGTTCTTGCCTATTCATATGCTTTTCTCTGTTCATACCTGAGAGTCATAAATTGTGTTAAAAGTAAAAACACAACATACTTTGAAAATTGTCAAGCACAGTGCAGTGTTGTGAGTTAAGTATTACAGTCACAGGATAGTAATGTGGTTTTGAGAGTGAAAACAAAATGAGAAAACAGTTCTTTTTTGTTGCTTGGACAGTAACCCAAGATCCTAGCTGAGGACTGTCATTTACAAATACTTTAAAAATATCATTTCATTGAACATTTAAAGAATCTTTCTCTTAGACTCATGGAGTTTAGAGAAACTTTACCTAGTTCATATCTAAATTCTCAGCAAAAAATGACTATTTCTGAAAATATTTTATCTAAATTAGAGATAGTAAATATGAGGCATTTGTGTTACCTTCCCTTTGGCCAGGCTTGTGACAAATATTCTTAGCTGATCCCAGGACGCTTTCCGACTGACCATATATACAATCCTGTAATTCTCAACATGACATTCCAGGTAACAACTGTCTTTCTATATTGACATTGAAAGCTTTGTCAACACTGAGCTCTGCTTAAGTACATCTTAATTTACAAGGTATACTTACTGTTATATGAATCCTATTTATTCCATTGTTGGACAGCTCTAATATAGAATTTGACTTTATTTTAAGCTGAATTTCTTTTTCTCCTAACCATTGGTTCTAGTGATGCCTTCAGAGTCATATAATAATCTTATTGATCCTATAGCTGTCATGACTCTCTTCTTTTTATTTTATTTTATTTTGGTTTCATTAATGTACAATTACATGAGCAACATTAAGGTTACTAGACTCCCCCCATTATCAAGTCCCCACCACATACCCCATTACAGTCACTGTCCATCAGCATAGAATCACTACTTGTCTTCTCTGTGTTATACTGCCTTCCCCATATATCCCACCCCTGCTACATTATGTGTGCTAATCATAATACCCCTTTTTCCCTTTTATCCCTCCCTTCCCACCCAACCTCCCCAGTCCCTTTCCCTTTGGTAACTATTAGTCCATTCTTGGGTTCTGTGAGTCTGCTGCTATTCTGTTCCTTCAGTTTTTCCTTTGTTCTTATACTCCACAGATGAGTGAAATCATTTGATACTTGTCTTTCTCTGCCTGGCTTATTTCACTGAGCATAATACCCTCTAGCTCCATCCATGTTGTTGCAAATGGTAGGCTTTGTTTTCTTCTTATGGCTGAATAATATTCCATTGTGTATATGTACCACTTCTTTTTTATCCATTCATCTACTGATGGACACTTAGGTTGCTTCCATTTCTTGGCTATTGTAAATAGTGCTGTGATAAACATAGGGGTGCATATGTCTTTTTCAAACTGGGCCCCTGCATTCTTAGGGTAAATTCCTAGGAGTGGAATTCCTGGGTCAAATGGTATTTCTATTTTGAGTTTTTTGAGGAACCTCCATACTGCTTTCCACAGTGGTTGAACTAATTTACATTCCCACCAGCAGTGTAGGAGGGTTCCCCTTTCTCCACAGCCTCGCCAACATTTGTTGTTGTTTGTCTTTTGGATGGTAGCCATCCTTACTGGTGTGAGGTGATACCTCATTGTAGTTTTAATTTGCATTTCTCTGATAATTAGTGATGTGGAGCATCTTTTCATGTGTCT